GGGGAAAAATGTTTGAAGCAACAATGGGTGGAATAAAGTCTGTCAGACTCAGAATTTTCTATGATGTTCTTGGGAAGTTCCTTAATTGTTCTAAAACAGGGGTCTCAAACTCGTGGCCTGGGGCCCGCATGCAGCCCACGTCACCCCTACTTGCAGCCCGTGTATTGATGTGATGAAATGTGATGCAATTTGGCCCTTGAAGTGACTTTTTGTTAGGGAGGATTTGTTTGTTGAGTGCAATGTTAAAACAAATTCTTCAAATGACCGAATATGTTAGTTCAGTGACAGGCAAACACGCATGTCTGCAATTTTATTTTGTTGAATACGAGCAAAATGATAGAAGTGCTGCCACGTGTGTGGACAGACAGGAAGGGCCATTGTGTTTATTTGCTTCAATGAAAGGCTTCGGTTAGTAAAGAGTGAGGGGGAACTGCCTTCACGTTTGCTGTTTTGTCTTTTTATACAATATATTTAATTTTAAAAAAAACAAGAAAGACCACGTTTTCAGAAATATTTGTGGTTGTTTTCTTGTTTGTTTAGTGTTCAAGTAGCACAAAAAAACTGCAGCCCTCCAATGAGATGACAGTGCCAGCAGTGGCCACAGCTCATTTAAGTCTGAGACTCTGTTTGCCTTCACATAATGATTATCTGAGGTTTATTACACTCTGGACTCATCACATTATAGTCAAAGCAGAGTTAATGTATTTTATTTGAAGTAGGAGTCCCAAAAACTGAAAATGTGCTAAATAAAACCAAAAACAATTCTCTGATAGGTGGCACTTTGTAAAACCCCCTGTCCCTCACACACACACACATACGTGCACATCCCCACCTAAAATCATTTACAAGTATAGATACAGACACACATGGCAGTGACACAGTGTTGTGAGAGTGTGTGACTCTGTGTTTCTATGTCGATTAAGCAGTCTGACTCAATGAGTTCAAATTAAACGCAGGGCAGAAACTTTGAGCGTGGAAAAGTCATTTTTTTACCTCAACAGCAGGCGATGTCATGCAGTGGACGGGGTGATTCATGAAAAATCAAATTCTTCAAAACTTAAACTGTCATTGTTTGAAAACCATAAAAGATATTAAAAAAAAATCTGGTAATATTTTAATAATCCAAGGTCTTTGGACCTGTTTAAAGTTCCATTTTTTCTCTAGTACAAGACATGCTAAAATATTTGAAATATTCAAATTTAAACTTGCTGAATGAACTTGCATAAGATCACCAAAATGTCGAGCATGAGTGTAAAATGCAACTGTACCTGAAGTAAATGGTTTACAAGAGACAGATCTGAGGTCAGCTCAGTGTGACT